CATCTCCAGGCATCAGAGACATGGGCAGGAAGTGAGTGGGAGATACTCCCAGAAACACCATGGGAGTGGGGATTCAGGCCCCTCCCTGCCATCCCCTGCAGTGTAGACACCTTCAAGGAGCACCCTCCTGGCCTCCTCTCATACCCACCACAGCCTTTGTCACCAGGGTCATGGAGTTTCAGGCTGAGTTGTCTTCTTGGCAGCCCGACCCGCAGTGAGGAGAGAGGCCTGAGTGCCTCTCAGTCAGTCTGTCCCTCCCCTCCCTCCCTTGGCAGGAGCACTGGGGCATTGTTCTCTGTTTCCCCTTCTGTCCTTGTTGCCTTTGTCCCCACCTTACTTGGGGGCTCTAGGCACTGCAGTGTGTGGGGCTGGCAACGATCTGACCCTCACTTCAAGACACCCCATCTTCAGGACTTTTGACTCTTTCTCTGGGGGTCCCTCCAGAAGGGCACGGCTCTCCCATGGACTCTCAGTGCCCCATGGAGAAGACAACTCAGCGCTAAAGCCATGGCACTGTGGCTCAGGTGTGTGTGTGGGCAGATGCAACGAGCCCTGTGTGTCCGTGGCTGGGAGGGGAGAGCTGACATCCTCCTCAGGTACGATGGGATGGTGGGCAGGGGTTTGGAGATCTGCATTTGAGAACTGGATTCCTTTGCTCTCAGATGTTTCCAGTTTCTCCTCAGGTGAACATCTGGGTGTGAGCATCCTGCAGCTAAATGAGTTGCAAGGAAAAGGCAGCTGAGACCAGGGCTGATGGACAGACCAGCTCCCCACAGCCTGCACTAAGGGACAGTCCCTTTGTCTGTGAGCACCCACAGCATTTCGCTGTGAGTGCAGCAGAACTGCCAAGGATTTCTGCTTTAATAGCACTCCTCAGTTGTGGTGGGGCAACCAGAACAAAATACACAATCTGAAATCCCCTCAGCATTGCTCTGCTGTTGGGTTAAATACAGAGACAATGCTGAAAAGCTTGTTGATATCAAGAGTGGATTTCATCCCCACGTTGCTCTTACCTATTGCCGTAGGGCAGGACTGACACCTCCAAAGCCCAGCAGAGACACCTGCACCCCATGGCACCCTCAGCCAGCACCAAACAGAGCTCATGAAAGGGACCTGCCAAAGGTCCCCCTGAAAGGGGTGAGGCAGTCTGGGGGGGTTCCATGACAACTGGAATAGGTTTTCCTGAGAGAACTCTCCCCTAACTTATCACTGCCTTTTCCTCCTTGGACAGGTCCCCGTGCCCAGAGGCAGCAGATGTGCAACAACAGCTCCATCACCCAGTTCCTCCTCCTGGCATTCGCAGACACGTGGGAGCTGCAGCTCTTGCACTTCTGGCTCTTCCTGGCCATCTACCTGGCTGCCCTCCTGGGCAACAGCCTCATCATCACTGCTGTAGTCTGCAACCACCGCCTCCACACCCCCATGTACTTCTTCCTCCTCAACCTCTCCCTCCTTGACCTGGGATCCATCTCCACCACTGTCCCCAAATCCATGGCCAATTCCCTCTGGAACACTAGGGCCATCTCCTATGCAGGATGTGCTGCACAGGTTTTTCTCTCTGTCTCTTTTATTTCAGCAGAGTATTTTCTCCTCACCGTCATGGCCTATGACCGCTATGTTGCCATCTGCAAACCCCTGCACTACGGGACCCTCCTGGGCAGCAGAGCTTGTGTCCACATGGCAGCAGCTGCCTGGGGCAGTGGGTTCTTCTATGCTGTGCTGCCCACGGCCAATACATTTTCCATTCCCCTCTGCCAAGGCAATGCTGTGGACCAGTTCTTCTGTGAAATCCCCCAGATCCTCAAGCTTGCCTGCTCAGAGTCCTACCTCAGAGAACTTCGACTTCTTGCATTTAGTGCCTTTCCCTTTTTGGGGTGTTTTGTTTTCATTGTGGTGTCCTATGTGGAGATCTTCAGGGCCGTGCTGAAAATCCCCTCTCAGCAGGGACGGCACAAAGCTTTTTCCACATGCCTTCCTCACCTAGCTGTGGTCTCCCTGTTTATCAGCATCTCTTTTTTTGCCTACCTGAAACCCCGCTCCATCCTCTTCCCAGCTCTGGATCTGGTTATGGCAGTGCTGTATTCAGTGGTTCCTCCAGCACTGAACCCCCTCATCTACAGCATGAGGAACCAGGATCTCAAGGATGCAGTGTGGAAACTGGTGACTGAATGATTTTCAGAAGCTGTAGAGCATCCATCTTCTTCAGCATGTAACTCATAATGTAACTCATTACAGGCCCAACCTTCCTGTATTCATTTTTGTTGTTATCATTCTTACTGGGTGAGGGTTTTTTTCTTTTCTTCATTTTTTAACTTGTGATAATATTGTCTACAAAGAATTGTGGACACCCTACTTTTACTTCATTAGCTACCTCACTGGTGTGACCCAGCCACTGTGTAAATAAGGAGCTATTCTCCTTCTCTGTTTAAACAAAATAAATGTCCTTGCATTGACTTGTCTGTCTGAGAAACAAGCCACTGAAACTTAATAAATACTCTTCCTCATAGATGGAGAAATGGTAATGGGGCAATCATGGAGTCCCCCACAGCTACGGAATGCGGAATGTTCCCTGCCCTTATGCAAATCTCTTCCTTCTCTTGACCTGCATAGTGTTTGTCTTTGGGAAGACCCTCAACATCATGTGGGTGGTGGCAAACCAGCATCTGCTCACCCCCATGGGCTGCTTCTTGGGTCATTTCTCTTCCCTTGAGATCTTCTAGAGGTTCACCACCCTGCCCCAGCTGGTGGCCAGCTTTGCGACTGGGGATAGCATCATGGTGTTAGTACTGTTCCATGCACCTTTTGCGTGGACAGAGCCTTTACTACTGGTGACCACATCCTATGATGAGTACTGGACTGTGTGCCACCCCCTACTCCCAACAAGGCTCATCAACTGGGAGGTCTGCCTCCGGGGGGCAGCTGCCCCTCCACTATGGGGATTTCTGTCGTCTGCAGTAATCATTTCAGTTTTGTCCCAGACACAATTCTGTGTCCCCAGTAGAGTGGACCACTTCTCTGATTTCAGCCTGGAGCTCTAATGCAGTGACACTGACACTCATGCTCTTTGCTTTTATAACCTTCCTTTTAGATACCATCCTCCCCTTCCTGTTCACATGGTTATCCCATGTGCATCAGAGATGCCACCCTGGGGCAGCTCACCCATCCAGCGTGGCAGGCAGAAAGCAGCTTCCACCTGCTCCTCTCACCTCACTAGTGCCACTGTTTTCTATGGCACCCTCATCCTTGGGTGTGTGATGGATTGGGAGTGTTATAGGCTGGTCATCTTTACCTCAGTCCTTGGGAAGGTGGCAGGGTAAATGCTCTTGCAGCCATCTCCATCACCTGAAGGACAAGAAAAGGATTGCTGAATCCATGTGGGAGGGGAGATGTCCTGGTTTCATCTGGGATAGAGTTGATTTTCTTCATAGTGGCCTTCACAGTGCTGTGTTTTGGATTTAGTATGAGAAGAATGTTGATAACACACTGATGGTTTAGTTGTTGCTGAGCAGGGCTTACAGCAGTCAAGAACTTCTCAGCTCTCAGCTCTGCCAGGTACACAAGAAGTCGAGAGGGGACACAGCCAGGACAGCTCACCCAAACTGGCCAAAGGGGTATTCCATACCATATGAGGTCACACTCAGTATATGAGCTAGGGGAAGAAGAAAGAAGGGGAGATGTTTGGAGTGGTGGCGTTTGTCTTCCCAAGTCACCATTGTGTGTGGTGGAGCCCTGGAGATGGCTGGGCACCTGCCTGCTGATGGGAAGGAGGGAATGAATTCTTTGGCTTGCTTTGCTTGCAAAAAAAGCTTGGCGGCTTTTGCTTTCCCTGTTAAACTGTCTTTATCTCAACTCATGAGTTTTCGCACTTCTACTCTTCTGATTCTTTCCCCCATTCCACCAGGGGGAAAGTGAGCAAGCGGCTGTAAGGTGCTTTGTTGACAGCCGGGTTAAACCACAACAATGTCTTTGAGGATGGGACCAAGGGCATCCTGAACAACTTTACGGGTGATAGAAAGCTGAGATGAGTGGCTAATACAGCAGACAGTCACACTGCCATTCAAGCAGTCCAGGGCAGGCTGGGGAACTGGGCAGAGGGGAACTGCATGAAATTCAACAGAGGAAAACACAAAGTTTTTCAACATGGGCAAGAGTAACCCCATGGACCAGCTTGGGCTGGCGGGGGGCAAGTGGCTGGAAAGCAGCTTGCGGACAACAAGCTGAGCATGAGCCAACAATGTGGCTGTATGGCAAAGCAGGTCTACAGCATCCTGGTCTGCGTTCGGAAGAGGATTGCCCGCAGGGCAAGAGGCATGCTCCTTCCCCTTCAGTCAGGCCTGGTGAGGCCACATCTGGAGTGCTGTGTGTAGTGGTGGGCTCCTTAGTATAAGAGAGACATGGACGTACTGGAGTGAGTCCAGTGAAGGGTGACAAAGACAATGAAAGCACACGAGCACCCTCCATAGGAAAGGCCAAGAGAGCTCAGCTTGCTTGGCCTGGAGAAGATTCATGTACTTACAGCTTTCCTTTGGCCAGAAGAGAAGGAACAAAGAAATCCCCAACAGATGGGTTACAAGGAAGGTGATTAGAGACAGCCAACATGGCTTCACAAAGGGAAAATCACACCTTACTAATCTGATGGCCTTCTATGATGGAGTGACTGTGTTGGTAAGGCAAGAGCAACTGATGTCATCTGAGTGGACTTCTGCAAGGCCTTTGATATGGTGTCCCCCCCCCAGCATTCTTGCCTCTACATTGGAGAAATGTGGTTTTGATGGGTGGATAAGGAATATGCTGGGTGCCTGCCTCTAAAGAGTTGCAAACAGTGGCTCAATGTTGAGATGGAGAAGAGTAAGAAGTGCTGTCCCTCGGGGTCTGTATTGGGACCAATACTGTTCAATATCTTTATTAGTGACATAGCAGTGTGATCGAGTGCACCCTCAGCAAGTTTGCAGACCACATCAAGCTGAGTGGTAGAGCTTATTCACTGGAGGGAAGAGATGCCATCCAGAGAGATTGTGACAGGCTGGAGGAATGGGCCCAAGTGAGAGTTCTCATGAGGTTCACAAGGCCAAGTACAAGGTCCTGCCCATGGGTTGGGGCAATCCCCAGTATCAATACAGACTGGGGGATGAAGGGGTTGAGAGCAGCCCTGCAGAGAAGGAATTGGGGGAACTGGTGGATGAAAAATTGGACATGAGATTGCTTCACATCACAGGCTTGAAAAACTGTTTCCAGGAAGTCTGTATTACAGGTCTGAAGGTACCAGGAGGTGGGTTTTTGTCAGGATGGCATAAATCAGAGCCAATGTAGTGAAAGAAGTGAGTGAAACCTTGTCCCCCTGCTCCCTCCTGAGCTGGACAGGCTTAGGGTGCAGCCACACCATGGGGGCAGTTAGTACCCCCCCGAGCTTCCCATGTGCAGTGTGGTTGTCACAGCTGAGCTAAGCGTTGCAGGCCCTCAGGCATTAAGGCAAGGAAGGAAGCCAGAGAAGGTCTGGGATAAAGGATGTATGGGGTGGATGGGGACAAAGAGTCCAGAACAGGCTTTCCCATGGCTCTGGAGATGTGACCCACTTGGCACCGATTATCTGTGAGGGGCAAAGTCTGAGTTGAAGCAGTGGAGAATGCAAGCACTGTAGATAAAGACAGCGAGAATGTGACTCACAGAGACCTTCACTCTCAAACCATTGGTGGATAGGGATCAGGTCCAGTTTTGCACCCCTCAAGTCTACAAAGAGGTTTTCTGATTTGATATGAGGAGGATGTTCCATGGCCATTCAGAAAGCCCTGCAATATCCAAGGCACCTCTCAGCACTGCCAAATAAGGACCTAGTAACTGTGGGGAACATTACACTCTTCTGAAGTACCGTGTAGGGTGCCACCAACACTGAAAGTGCTGTCAGCATCCTCTGTTTAGGCTACAGAAGTCCAACAGCAACAACATCACCCCCCATCAACCACAGATCTGCTCAACACAGGCAGTGCATCCAACAAGCAATTCATCTCACGGTAAAGCAAATATTTTCATTGGCTCGGTTTTCCATGCCAAGGGGCACAGAAAGACAAAGGTTCTCAGTACCCCATTTTCTTCAGCTTTCCCTGGCAATGTTTGTCCTCACGCATCACATAGAACCATATAATAGTTTGGGTTGGAAGGGACCTTTTAAAGGTTATCTAGCCCTACCTCCCTGCAGTGAGCAGCGACACTTCAACTCAATCAGGTTGCTCAGAGCCCCATCCAACCTCACCTTGAATGTGGTGATGGGTCATTGACCACCTCTATGCCCCCTGGCATCCAGACAGGGTCAAACCACCACACTCCTGTAAACAGGTCTTTCCCTCTTTGTTCCTAATGTATCAGCAGCCCCTGGCTCTTCTCTGTTACTCAAAACTCTATCCCTTTCCCTGCTAAATTGAGATTTCCATGCAACTGGCCTCTTTTATACCATTTTCTCTCTATCCCCTGCTTTGTTCCTCCCCACTCACCTTTCCTCTGCACATCCCTCCTGGGTTTGCATAGCCCTATTGATTCCTACATCCCTTCCAGTCCGGGGTCCCTCTGTTTCACAATCAAATTTCCTGTTGACACCAAGCTGTGTGGTGCTGTCGACATGCTGAAGGGAAGGAATGCCACCCAGAGGGGCCTTAACAGGCTTGAGAGGTGAGCCCATGTGAAACTCTTCAAGTTCAACAAGACCAAGTGCAAGGTCCTACACAAGGGTCAGGGCAATCCCAAGTACAAATACAGGCTGGGTGGAGAATGGATTAAGAGCACCCCTGAGGAGAAGGACTTGTGAAGGTTGGTTGATGAGAAGCTCAACATGTCCCGGCAATGTGCACTTGCAGCCCAGGAATCCTAGTGTACCCTCAGCTGCATCAAAAGAAGCATGGCCAGCAGGGCGAGGGAGGTGACTCTGCCACACTACTCGGCTCTCGTGAGTCCCAACCTGCAGTCCTGTTTTCAGCTCTGGGGCACCCAACATAAGAAAGACATGGACCTTCTGGAATGAGTCCAGAGGAGAGCCATGAAGATGACCAGAAGGCTGGAGAACCTCTCCTGTGAAGACAGCCTGAGAGAGTTGGGCTTGTTCAGCCTGGAGAAGAGAAGGCTGCAGAGACACCTTATAGCAGCCCCCCCAGTACCTGAAGGGGGACTACAAGAAAGCTGGAGAGGGACTTATTACGAGGTCTTGTAGTGATAGGACAAAGGGTAATGGCATTAAACTGAAAGAGGATCGACTGAGATTAGCTAGAAGGAAGAAATTCTTCACTTGGAGGGTGCTGAGGCACCGGAACACATTGCCCAGAGAAGCTGTGGATGCCCCATCCCCGGAAGGGATCCAGGCCAGCTTGGATGGGGCTTTGAGCAGCCTGGCCTAGTGGAAAGTGTCCCTCCCATGGAATGGGCAGTGGAATGAGATAATCTTTAGGGTCCCTTCCAAGCCATTCTCTGATTCTCTGATATCAGCTGACAAGTCCAGATGAGCCCCTGGGAAGTGGCACCTGTAGTTTCTTGAGGGCACATCCACTGTGGGACTGGCAAAGTCCATTTCCTCTCCTTGTCTCCATGTCCATTTTGTCAAGGTTGTGTCTCAGCACAGTTTGCTTCTGGTTTCCCTCTTTTCTCTCCCTTTCCTAATTAACAAGGTCCCCAATCAGATCACCTGCCTGGAAGAAACCCTCTCACCATGAGCATGCCCAACCAGCTTGGTTCCCGTCACCGCCTCCCTTAGCATTGGCCGCTCAGGTTTGTGTCCCTCTGGATTCTTACCTATGGCATCCTCCTTTCATCATCATTTTATTCTCCCGTGTTTCAGGGAAACAGGTCCTTGAGAAGATGCCCTTCCAGGAGCAGACCCTCTCCTTCCACACACAACCGCACACAGCTTTGGCCGGGGGCCATGCACGAGAGCAAACCATTGATCATGCCAGGGCCCATGCAGAAGGTCCCCCCCTACCCAGAGCGAGGGGTCTTTCTGTGACGATGTCAGGGGGTGAGCACAGGTGGAGCGGGGGGGAGCTGCAGGCTCCCCAGGGGGAGAAGCTCAGCCCAAGTGCCCCGCCAGCTCCAGCAGGGCCGGTGTTTCATGTCAGCCCAACCCCCCCTGCACTTTGCCAGAGAGTCCCCCGGCTGGGCTGGAGATGGGAGGGACCTGGGGGCTCTCCCAGCTCTGGCGGCCCAGCTCTGGCTGGGGGGTTTGTCCCTGCCCAGGGGCCTTCCCGGTGCCTGCTGGGATCCCTGCCCTGGCCGACGCCAGGAGCACCGGCACCGCTGTGACGGGAGGCAGGGGGGGAGAGGTGCCCTGCCCACCCACTTCCGGTGGAATCCCCACCCCCTCCCAGCACCCACAGGAAGTCACTCTCCTCTCCCAGCTGCCTGCTCTGCTCTGATTGGTTGGCAGGACCGGCCACCCCCTCCGCTTTACGCAGGGGGACCGCCCACCCGG